TCTTGTCACGTTTTCAGTCTACTAAGTCCCACCCCCAAGTCTTGCTGCTACTCAGTCCAGATAGGACCTCTGCTGAGGAAGACCAGTGAGATCTGTCCTGGCTGTGGATACCGTCCTTAGCTGAAGCCACCAGCACTCACCACAGGACCTCCCAGATGTCAGATGTCAGATGCCTTCAGCTTCCCAGACACATGGAAAGGCCTCTCTCTTGTTGCCAAGGCTTCAGTGCCACACAAGCTCCTGGCTCCCACATCTACTAGGTTAAGCAGGCCACTAGGCCAACCAGGACTGCATCCTGAGGATGCCTAGAAGTGGGGAAAGTCATTCTGCAAGAAGGTGTGCAGATGGGATGGGATCTGGAGGTTGATGCAGAACCCAAACCACCTCATCACAGGAAATACACTTAGTTAGGGATGTCCCTGTGGGGCTGGGGGTGCAACACAGTGGTAGACCTTGTTTAGTGTGGAGGCCATGGGCTCCATCCTCAGCACTTGGGATTGGGTAATATTGATTTTTCCCCCCTGTTTACAGAGCCTATTTGGTGGAAATTTAAAAGGAAACATCATGGTTTTTGTCCTGTGTCAACTACTGTCTGCGGTTTATTTGTTTTTTGTTTGTTTGTTTTTGTTTTTTCAAGACAGAATTTCTCTGTGTATCTCTGGCTCTCCTGGAACTCACTCTATAGACCAGGCTGGCCTCGAACTCAGAAATCCACCTGCCTCTGCCTCCCAAGTGCTGGGATTAAAGGCATGCGCCACCACTGCCCGGCCCGTAGTTTATTTATGATACCACTTGGGGTGGATTTTCCCACAGTGACCCATTCTCCAGAGCCAGCTGGGCAACTTGTGTCTGAAATCAGCTCTGTACTACACTGAGGTGACACAGATCCCAGTAGTCTGCCCGCAGCTTCAAAACTTAGTGTCACCTTCTGGCTGACTGGCTGCAAATCAGAGGTTCCCAGAGAAGCCTCCACCGCTCCCCCCTCTCTGTTCTTGGGCTTAGACCCAGGGTCCTGAGCATGAAAGCATATTATTGAGGTATACTGCCAGCCTCAGATAACAATTTATTATAAAGGCTACATGACAAGGCCAATGACAAGGCCCATCATTCTAAGTACTTTAGAGGCTGAGGCAGGAGGATCACAAGTCCAAGGGCACTCTGGACTATAGAATGAGTTCAAGGCCAACCTGGAAAATGTATACCCTCTTTCAAAGAGAAAGGATGGTGGTGGTGGTGAGAGGGCTTAGACAGTGGTTCTCAGCCTGTGGGTCATGACCCCTTTGAAGTTGAATATCAGATTGCCTGCATACCAGATATTTACATTATAATTCACTACAGTGACAAAATTACAGTTGTGAAAGCAACAAAATAATTGTATGGTTGGGGGTCACCACAACACTGAGGAACTGTATTAAAGGGCTGCCGTGTTAGGAAGGGTGAGAACCACTGGTTAGAAGGAAAGATACTGTGCTGGCCAGCCTGAGTTTGGTCTGTAAGTTTGATGGAGAGAACCAACACCCACAAGTTGTCTTCTGACTGCCATTAGTGCGTTTGTTCACACACAATGGGAAATTACTTTTCAAAAGGTCCAGGGGTTATCAGTTCAGTAAATGGGTGATTGCTTAGCATTTGGGGGTGTGGCACTGCCTCCCTGGAGTTCCTCCCTGCCAGCACCCCATGTGCTCATCTGAAAGCTGAACCCCCTCCTTTAGGGAGACTCATTCCCTGGGCGTGAGTCATGGGCTTCTTGGCCCCTGGAAGTTGACTCAAACTGCCTGCCTCTACCTCCCTAGTTGCGGGTAGGGCTGGACCTTCCAGGCTTCTGGTGACACTTGGTTCCCAGGACCCAGCTCCCTACTCCCCGTAGTCACCTCATTAGCATACACTGGGCTGAAAGGGCTTCTTGTGAACGATCCAGGGAATTCCAAGCATCTTAGGAGCTCTGTACTGGGTGGGAATGGGATGATGGATGTGTCATTATAAATCACAGTATCACTAAGTGGTTCCTCAAGTTTCCTCAAGAAGAAAAGAAAATAACAGCTGTCCCGTGAAGCTTCCCTCTGGGCTCCATCGCTGCCCTGTACTTGACCTGAGGTCTGACACTTTACAAGTAGCTCTGTATTCTGTCTCTGTGCAAACATACTTTTACCCTCTTGTGGTGGTGGGGGGCTTTGGCATCCACACTAGAGTCCTCTGGATCCCTACCTCTCTAGGACTTGGCAAGTGGCTTGGATAGAGACACTTAGGCTGGGTGACAGAAGACTGCCATCATGATGGCTCCCCTGGAGTTCAGTGGCTGGAGAACCATACAAGTAAAGTGTGCTGTGCTTCCTCTGCACTCACTGTCACCATGAGTGGCATTCATATTCTTGGGGTCATTGGGCAGGAGTATGGTAAAGACATGGAAGAGACAGCAAGATGTAGCCCAGGGCTGCAGACAGGTCAGAGGCCATGTCAGTGTCTCTGTCTGTCTGTCTGTCTGTCTGTCTGTCTGTCTGTCTCTCTCTCTCTCTCTCTCTCTCTCTCTGTCTCCCTCTGTCTCCCTCTGTCTCTCTGTCTCTGTCTCTGTCTCTGTCTCTCTCTCTCTCTCTCTCTCTCTCTCTCTCTCTCTTTCTCTCTCTTTAAGGTTTCATTGCTAGAGTTAAAGGTGTGCGCCCACTTTCTTTCCTCTCCTGCCTCTCCTTTTCTCCGCCTTATTTTAGTTTTTTGGGCCACTGTCTCAATATATAGCTCAGACTAACTTGGAACTTATGATCCTCCTGCCTGAGCTTCCTGAGTCTTGAGATCATAGGATTTCTCCAGCATGCCCGTGATGGCTCTTTCTTAAGAAAATAGCCATCTGGCCAGGCATACCTTTAGTCCCAGCACTCAGGAGGCAGAGGCAGGTGAATTTCTGGTTCTAGGCCAGCCTGGTCTACAGAGTGAGATTCAGGACAGCCAGAGCCACACAGAGAAACCCTGTTTAGAAGAACAAAAACAAAGAAGACAGCCATCTGTCATCATACCAAGTTAAATACATAAGGATGGGGCGGTGACTGATGGAAACGTTCTGGTACATGACTGGTAGTCTGGCTCTTCTGCCAGGGTTGTGTGATGTGAAAAGCTTATGCTAGGTAGGCAAGCTCACCCACTGTCCTCTCAGCAATGAGGAAGCTGAAGAAGGAGGATCTGGATTTGGATCTGTCTGGGCTATGCAGTGACACCTCTGATGATGCTGTAGAGTCAACCGGCAGTCAGCAGACCGGTTGGTCGGTCGGCAGCTGATGGTGGCATTGCTGCTTCAGGGCAGTCTGGCATGCTGTGAGTGGGCCTCATGTGTCTCTGAGGAAGGAATTCCTCAGCCACACCTCCTCAGCTTGCCGTTTGTTTACTCAACCAGGGATGGCAGGGCCTGGCCTCTCAGGGTACAGCAGCTGAGGCAAAGGTGACAAACCCAAGTAGGGGAGTGTCTGATTTCCTCAGGTCCAGACAGATCAGTGTCTTCCCTGAGTCAGCAGCCTGGTATAGGAGGAGCCCGGCCTCTAGAGGACAGGTACAGTGCTGTCGAGGTTGTACCCAGGTGTGGGTTCACTCCTTCATTCATTCAGTTTAGACCACTAATTTTACATGGTATTATTGTTACTATTATTAATTAAGTGCCTAATGTATCAGGCGCAGCAGTATGCACTGGGCTTTGATCTCTAAAAGACAATTAGTAAAAATGCTGATGCAGCAGAGTATGGTGGCCCGTTCCTGTATCGTATTACAGACACAAGAAGAGTGTGATGTAATAGAATCTTAGTTTGATGGTCATTAGGGGAGGAGAAAGTTCTTGTTCTGAGTGGGTGTGCATGCAGCAATGTCCTCCCCATCCTCCTCTCCTACAGTATGTCCTCCCCATCCTCTCCTGCAGTAGTGTCCTCCCCATCCTCCTCTCCTACAGTATGTCCTCCCCATCCTCCTCTCCTACAGTATGTCCTCCCCATCCTCTCCTGCAGCAGTGCTCCTCCTACTTTCATCCTTCCCCGCCCAGATCACACATGTCAAAGAAAGCATCGCACTTCATTTCTTCTGTTTATTTTATGTGAGTGGCTCTCACTATATAATCCTGGCTGATCTGGAACTCACTATGGAACAGACCAGGCTGGCCTCGGGGTCACAGAGATCCACCTGCTTCTGCCTTCTAAATACTGGGATTAAAGGTGCGTGCCACTATACCAGGCAACATGTGTCTTTCTGAATCTGGCTAATCTTGTTTAACTTGATGATTTCCAGGTCCATCCACATTTCCTGCCATTTTCCCAAAATCAGCTGGTAAGATTTCACTCCAGGTGTGTGTGAGTTGTTTGTTTGTGTGTGTGTGTGTGTGTGTGACATTCTTAATACATTCAGTAGGCCGACTGGCTGAGGCCATTCATCTTAACGGTTATACTGCTGCAGAGATCTACATAGGTGTCTACGTCTGCATAGGAAACCACTTGGAGTCCTTTGGGTGTATTCCCAGGAGTGTCATACATGGGTCATATGATGGTTCTGTTTCTAGTTCTTTAAAGAAGAACTGGCTTCAGTGGCCAGACTAATTTATCCATCAGCATTGTGTATTTTGTCTATCCTACCCTTGAAAAATCATTATTATTATTTGTTGTTGTTTTTATCTAGAAGGTTTACTGCACAGTTGTTGAGGAGGTAATAGAAAAGTTACCAACAAATTCAGCAGAGAATCTCTTATTACTGTAGATCCAGGCACAGCAGATGGACCTGGACATAGCTTCTGAGGTGCTGGTGTCAAGACTTTGCATGCTGAGTCTCTCATCCCTGAGCCAATCATTACACAGAGTAAAAAGCTGTTCCATGATGCTCCAAGTGGGCGCTGTCTCCAGTTTCACCTTGTGTAGTGGCCTTGCTGTCCATTCCTTGGCTCTCTGGGGTCCATAGATATCTTCCTTAGGCCTCTCAGGTAGAAGGATCCCAATGAGGCTGGTGTCAGCAGCCAGGATACAAAGGATGAGAGAAGGAAGGCAAGTTAAAAGCACCAGAGTTTGGGAAGGCCGGAAGCAACCTTCCAAACACATGGACAGTCTCCAGCAGCCTCTCCATGTAGTGTCAATGACTGGGGCATGGCAGCCCCAGTCACTTTTGAAAACAGGGGCATTTTGTTTTGTGAAAGTTATTCTGACTGGGGTAAGCAGGAATCTTGTCGTTTTAGTTGCTTCTTTCTGTGAAAGCTTGGGGTTGAGAAGACCATAGACACTAAAGAAATGAGGAACAGCAAAGGATTCAGCTTATTCTGGAAGTAAAGGGTAGGGTCTTTCTTCTTAGCCATGTTCTATGGTTACAGCTTTAGTTACAAAATATACAGCAACACTGGGCAGCACTGCTGCATGCCTTTACTCCCAGCACTCAAGAGGCAGACGCAGGTGAATGAATCTCTTGAGTTAAATTCTAAGACAGCCATAACTACAGAGAGAAACCCTGTCCCGAAAACAAACAAACCATAGTGAGTAAGATTCCGATCTGTAATATTTGCTTTTTTCTTACTAGACAAAGAACAGCTTTTTAGATGTTACTAACTGAACCTTTTTTCCCCAGAAGATAATTTGAAGAACATGACAAGGAAATACTTGGAGTGTGAGGGCAACATTTTGCAAACATCCTCTTATTTTCGAGGGGTGGCATTGTCCTTGCCTGACATCAGTTCAGCAAATCTTCATTTTGCAGTTGGCTAAAAATTTTGGGCGTCCTCTCCCGTATATTTACCAGTCACCTTATGTGTCTTTTGGAAAGTCGTCAGATCATTGTCCATTTGTTGGTCAGGTTACCTGTTCTTTTACCATTTTTTTTAAACACTAAAAAAATGGTAAAAAGGGGATAGGCAAGATGTCTCAGTAATTAAGAGCCCTGGCTGCTATGCAGATGACCCAGTTGGGTTCCTAACACCCTCATGGTAGCTCACAATCAGCTGTAACTCCAGCTCTAGAGGATCTGATGCTCCCTTCTGGTGTCTTCAAGCACCAGGAATGCATGTAGTGCATAGATGTCCATGCAGACAAAACACTCATACACATAAAAAGTTTAAAAACATTTAACTAAATCATAAAGAGCTTGAGAGAGGGCTCAGTGGTTGAGAGTAAGTACTGCTCTTCTAGAGGACCGGCGTTCAGTTCACAGCAGCCTGTAACACACACATTCATACAGATAGACACCTATGCACACACTAAAACATGTTTTAAATGATAACTCTGTACTGTGGAACAAACCATAGAAATTAACTTTCTGAAAGCAGCTTTGTCACAGGCTTAGCTCTCGAATTTTTGTTGTTTTTTGTTCTGGGTTTTTGTTTGTTTGTTTTTGTTTTTGGTAAACTTCCTTTCAATGGCTATGTAGCCAAATGAGATGGGTGAGCTGTAAAGATCAGCAGCACCGTCAGTCACTAGGGAGATTCAGTGTGGCTTCACTGTGTGACTCCATTGTATACTTGGTATGGTGGCTGCAGTTAACACTGAGGACAGTGTGAGCACAAATGCAGAACAAATAAAACCCTCACACACACTACATGCCACTGGCAGGGCCATATAGGGTGCACCCACCTTAGGAAGCAGCTTGACAGTGAAACACAAGCTCATTTCACTGTATGGCATAGCCACGGTAGCCCCAGGCCTGCTACCGTGAGAAATGAAGACATGTTCACTCAGGGAGGCAGCACTGAGGCCTATCATCCAGAAACGAGGAAGGCAGACTGTAACCATAGTGCTAGAATCCTGGCCAGGGTCCTGCTTGGGCTCTGGATGTCTCACCAAGATGAGGTCTGATCACCTGCCTCAGAAGACCAAACAGAAAAGGCAGCAGCTAAAGAGGAGAGGGTTATTCTCAGGGAGGCTGCACTGGGAGACTGAGTCTAGAGACCTAGTATTGTTTTTGGGGTGTCCACCATAGCTGCGGGCTTATGGAGGTCAGAATGTGGGTAAGAGAGGGTTTAGGAGCTTGGCTTTGATTAGCACCTGGAACTGATGGTGTAGGTAATTGTTGGCACCAAAGGATATCACCACTGCTTGGTGGGTAGTTCTGATTTCTGTCACAAGTTTCTCTGTCGGACCTGTAATCCTAGAATTCAGATTAAAGCAACAGAAAGAGAAGCCTAGGAAGATAAAATAGAAAGAATGAAGCACCCAGGGTCATCCACATACAACAAATGATAACACTGGTTACGAGGAAGAAACGAGAGTTGAGCATGCCGCCATTGCACAGTATGGAACAGAGCATCTGGGAAGTAATTCCCTGGGTGGACCTTTGAAGGAGCATCCTTGGCCCTTCCTGTCCCTCTGCTCCCTGTCTCCCCTGAGGTGAGCAGTTTTCCTCTGCTGTGATGTTTCTGCCTTGCCACAGGCCTAAAAGCAATGAAGCCAGATGGCCGTGGTTTATCCAGCTCAGAATTCTTCAACAAAATTGACTCCCTGTTGAAGTTGCAGCCCTCATAACCTAATCATCTCTCAGAAGACATCAGCTGGCAAGCAGTCCCTTAACACATGAGACTTCGGAGACAAGTTTTGTACTCAAACTATAAAAGTCTCTCTGCTGGTTAATCTTGGTTGTCAACTTGTTGGGATTTAGAATCACCTAGATGAGAGATCATGATGTATCTGTGAGAGATTGTCTACATTCGGTTAACTGAGGTAGGAAAACCCACCCTAAATGTAGCTCCAATGGGCTGGGGTCCTAGACTGGATGAAAAGAAGAAACTGAGCCAAGCACCAGGATTGATCTCTCTACTTCCTGACTGTGGACACAGTGACCACTGCCCCACAGCCCTGCTGCTATGATTTCTTCACTGTGAGGATCTGTATGGGCCAACTGTGAGCCAGAATAAACCACTTCTTAAGCCGATGTGTACCAGGTATCTTGCCACAGCAATGAGGAAAGAAACTAATACAACACCCCATACACTCTATTACAATGGGCTCTAGTTCTTGTTCACTCTATCTAGGAAGATACTTGGATTGCAAACTGGGAAATGAACGGGGAAGAGGTAGAATCCACCAGAGTGAGTGTCCAGGAAAAAGCAGAGTGAGCTTGTGATGGTGGGGTTGGGGTGTGGCTGTAGGCTCCTGGAACAAGGCCCTTCCTGTACCACTTCCTCACCTCATTTCAACATGCTGATGGGTTAGGAATGCACCTTCAACCCACAGGGAAGAAAGCAACTCAGAGCTGCTCAGTGACTTGCTTCTGGGCACACAGCTGCTGAAGCCAGCTGGGTGACTTATCCTGCAGGTTCTAAGTCCCAAGTCCTTGCCCACAAGCTCCTGCTAATCTAAACAAAGTCACCTGGACACACCAGCCTTCGGTGAAATGCCTCATCCCCACTGATGTTTGTCTCATGACTGTCTTCCCTTGGGAGGAGGCTGCTCTGGGCAGTTAGGAAAGGCTTCTTTGAAGAAGGGGCATGTGGGTGGAGCCCTTTGGGGGTACATGGAACTCTCCCCTGTATTCTCTGAGGGTCTGCAGGAACCAGTAAGAAGTTGAGGAGTAAATGTATACACATTCAGGAATGTCACGGGGCGGGGTGGTGGTGGTGATATAAGGCCCTGGGTTAGGGACACAGCACCACAGAGTCACCGAGCAGAGAGAAATCACCGACACGTGTGGCAGTGCCTAACCCAGCAGGTGCCGAGACTTATGCTCAGCCTTTCCTATAGAAGAGGGAAGAGCACGGGTCAGGGAACTATGGTTTTAGGGGGACTCTGGCCTGGAAGGCATACTGTGACCTGAGTCGTGGTTTCTGGAGAACTCAGATGGGAAGTGGTTCTCCATGGAGCTAAAACACAGGACAGTGGGAGCGGGAGAGATGAGAGTCTGTCTAGGATGACTTTAGTCCTGTCTGGTTGAGATACGAATGAGAGCTGAAGGCCCTGCAGCCTCTCTTTGGCACATCTTGTCTGGGAGAAAAGGTCAAACACATATGAGCCCTTCTTGGGCCAGGAGAGGAGAGAAGTGGAGCACAGAGAAGCCAAGATTTAAAGACGCTTTGCATGTTGGTCTAGGCCAGCCTTGAAATTCACTGTGTAATTGACAATGACCTTGAATTCCTGATCCTTCTGCCTCAACCTCCCATGGGCTGTGATTACAGCATACCACTCACCCAGCTCTGTTGGTAATCTATAACCTGTTAGACTTTAAAGGGACCAATAGGGCAGGGTAGGGCAGTGTCTGCACCCCAGCAGCCCTCTGAATGTGAAGGAAGAGGAGGAGCTGGGAAAGGATGGAGGTAGGAAATGGGAGAGGGGAAGCTGCTGCAGAGTAGAGAGAAGGGCATGAGAGACTAGGAAGCCAGAGAGCATGCGCCTGAGCTTCAGAGTCACTGGACTGAGATATAGGAGTCAAAGATGGGGGCCTGGGCTTCCTCGGGGAGATAGCTTAGAGAGGAGAAGGGGAGGGTGGAAGACCATTGAGGTGACATCGATGATTTGATGATGAGATCCTGCCTGCCAGGCATCTGCCTGTTGTGGTTACCATGGAAACAGACTGCAGCCCCAGAAGCCCCAGGTTCAACCCCTCGTATTAAAGATGATTAGATATAAAGGCCTGGGATTTCTGTCTTTGCTAAGGCAGCCTGGAAACCTTTCTTTTGGAATATCGCAGTAGAATATACATAACATAATATTAGAATATACATATAATATTTCACATTCAGACTTTAAACAAGTCTTCTTTAGTTTTTTTTTGTTTTTAGATGGAATCTTGTGGCTGACCAGGTGGCTCAGGTGACAGGTGAAGGCACTTGCTGCCAAAACTGATGACCTGAGTTCAGTCACAGGGACCCACGTGGTACAAGAAGAGCAAGTTGTTCTCTGACCTTCACACGTGCGCAGGCACTAATGCAATAAGAACGTCAAGGTAGGGTGTTATTATGTAGCCTAGGCTAGGCTTCAGCTTCCTTCTTCCCAAGTCCCAGATCATAGATGAGATGACACTCAGTCATTTGAACCATTTTTTTTCACTGTAGTTTAGTCACACAGCACCCTCACATTGCTGTGTGAGCATCCTCACATCCCTTCCCATCATTCATAGGTGATGCTTGACACCGTTAACTACCCCCCCCCCCCATACACACTTTCTCCTTAGGAATCTTATTCCTCAGGAGCCTAGGGGAAATG